GGAAGCAAGATAGGTAGGACTAGGAGTTGAGCAGGATTCTGGGTAGGAGAAATACAGAGAGTCATCATGTAGCTGCCATAGAAGTAAGGGGTCTGGACCCTGTAAGAGAAATACTTAGATTAACAATTATGGAGTAAATACTTAAGTCAGAGATAGCCAGTAAGAAAGAAGCAAGGCCAACAGCTTCATAATTAATACAGCGTCTTGTGTGTTATTTGGGGACTATAATGCGGCAGAGCCCAGGTGACTAGTGGGGAAAAACCAAAGCGGCTGGCAAGGAAAAGGCTTCACTCAACATGGGAGGATAAAACAAAACTCATATGCATTGTCTTCTGGTCTTCATATACATGCTGTGGAGTGTGTGTGTGTGTGTGTGTGTGTGTGTGTGTGTGTGTGTGTGTGTGTGTGTGCAATCAATAAACAAAAAACTGAAAAAGCTTGGGTTTAAGATATTTTATTTAGATATTTAGTTAAGCCTAGGTTAAAATTTTAGACTAAAGTTAAAATGATATCTTAATCTCATTCAGTACTCAGATATATTTAGCTTTGACCTCATCCAGAAAATGTATTTCTGACTGCCCTTTGCCTTAAGAGTGAGGAATTGGCCTGTGTTTATTTGTAACTGAACCTGTTTTGTTCTGAGGAGTACATGCATCTCACCCTTAAAAGAGGCTGTATTTTCTACAGGTTAAACGAAGTCTAAGTTTTCCTTGACTTGGGATTCTATACTTCAGGCGTGTACCAAGGCTGCTGAGGAAAAGACATAAGCAAGAGGCTTTGTCCTGCCTCTCCCTTTCTGGATACTTTTGCCGCCAGATGCAAAGACATCCAGAAGCAGGCAGAGAAGAACTAAGAAAGCCTACTATGTGACTTTGACTGTGACTGTGACTGACATATGTGCTAATGTAATTTACCCCCATAAGCTCACAGGGAGGGCACTATTAGGAAGTGTAGCCTTGTTGGAGGAAGTGTGTCACTGTGTGGGGGGTGGGCTTTGAGGTCTTTTATGCTCCTAGTTCAGTTCACTTCCTGTTGCCTGCATATCAAAATCAAGGATCTCTTTTTCTTTAAGGCTTATTTACTATTGTTTTATGTGTATTTGGAATGTCTGCATGTGTGTACAAGCACCATGTATTTCTCTACTACTCCTGGAAGCAGAAGAGGACTTCAGAACCCTTGAAATTGGAGTTCCAGTCCATTTGAACTGAACCCAGGTCCTCAAAAAGAGCAGCAAGTGCCCTTAGGCACTTATCCAACTCTCTACCTTCCATCAAGTATATTTACTTTTAAGAAAACAAAGGGTTTTGGCAATCCTGTTTGTATTACTTTCTTTGACGAGTTTGTTAAGTCTGTGCCATGAGTGTGAGCAGGTAATTGACTATGGAGCAAGTGTTAGGTTTTCCGTCTCTTCTTTGCCAAGTACTTAAAAAGACGAAGGAAGAATTTCCTCTCTGAGTGCATAAGTGACCCTTTTCCTCAGGGTGTGTGTGAAAATATGGCCTGTTCTGGACAACCTAACATGAAGCTTTACAGCTTGTTATTAATGTCAATTACATTCTTGACTCAGGGTTTTCCACATATGTCATTCCAGCCATCTATAGTAAGAATTATAGCACAGGTCTACACTATGATCTCTACTTGTCAAACAAGAAGCCTGGGGTTCAGGCACACCAACTTTCCAGTAGTTATATGGCTAACAACCCGCAATGGTGGGGTTTACTAGATATGCCTGCCTTTTCCATGAGTAAAACCTTGCCTGGAAATGAGCTAGCAGAAGTATTTTAGGAGGACATACAGCTGGCAAAGTAGCCTTGAATTTTATTCTAATCAACATATCAAGTCTTGCATTCATTTTTTCACTCATATTCAGTGTGTACCAATATGTGAACTGAAAACATGGCAGTCGATTAAAAGTTTATATCAGGCTGGAGAGACAGTACAGCAGGTAAGTGCATTGGTTGTTCTTCTAGAGAACTGGGGTTCAGTTCCCACAAGATGGCTCATAATCACCTGTAACTACAGTTTCAGTAGACCTGATACCATCTTCTGGTTTCCTTGGGCACCAGGCACACAAGTGGGTGCCATAAATATGTGTAAGAAAAACATCCATGCACATAAAATATCATTTTTAATTACATGTAAATTAGGGCCAGTGAATAATGTCCACTGAGTAAAGACACTTCTGTCAAGCCTGATAACTGAGTTAGATCCTTGGAACCAAATAGTAGAGAGAACCAATAAGTTATCCTCTGATTTCTACGGATGTGGCCCCACCATTCTTGTGATTACAAAAAATAGTAATAGCTTAAGCTCTAAATCCTTGCCTCTCAGAAGCTTGTTGTATTGGAGGCTCTGATCAGAGAAATAATGGGGTCTGGCTCTGCTGTACAATAAACCTTCGGTACACTGTGTGAATGTATGTCATTATGATTGATTTAATAAACCAGCGGACTGGTCAACAGCTGAGCGGGATAAAGCTAGGCGGGAAAGCCAAACTGAGAATGATGGGTGGGGTGAGGAAGAGTAAGTCAGAGGAGTTCGCCAGCTAGACGGAGAACGAGTCAGACGTACAAAATGGGATAAAAGTAAAAACCATGAGCCTTGGGGCAGCAGGTAGATTAGTGGAAATGGGTTAAGTTGTAAGAGCTAGTTAGTAACAAGTCTGAGCCATTAGCCGAGCATTTGTATATAATTAATATAAGCCTCAGTGTGTTTATTTGGGAGCTGCCGGCAGGACAGAAATTTCACCTACATGGCTTCACTCTTGCAAATATGCTTCCAGTCACAACATGTAACATTATCCAAGTAGAGAGAGGGCTTCAGAAACAGGACTATTGAGATGTGGCTGCAACAGTCAGTAGGGGCTGGACTTTTGGACCAGAGGGTAGCAGAAGTAGTGAGTTGGGTGGTAGATAGACTTTTATAGAAGTGTCATTAGGATTTTCTGAGGTGACTTGTCCTGGCTTTCCCGGGAGCTCAGATCTGCCTGCATCTGTGACCTGTGTTCTTTTACCTAATGCTCCAGTGAGAAATGATTTCACAGCTATATCCATTGGAAAATGAAATGTAGATGGAAGTTTCCATCCCACCCAGTCCTGCAGCCATTTTGTCCCAAATAAACACATAGAAGGTTGCATTAATAATAAACTATTTGGCCGATGGCTCAGGCTTCTTATTGGCTAGTTCTTTCTTAATTATTAACCCATTTTTATTAATCTATATACCTCCACATGGTCTTGTCTTACCAGAGAATACCCAGGTCTCTTTCTTCCTCAGCAGCTACATGGTGTCTCTCTGACTCTACCTACTACCTTTCTCTATCCCTGTTGGGATTTCCTGCCTGACTAAATACTGCCTGTCAATTAGCCTAAACAGCTTTATTCATCAACCAACAAGATAAACATTATTTACAGCATACAGAAGGACATCCCCCATCACTGAAACTCCTTCCTGTAGGACTCTCACCACCAGGCTTCTGCAAGGAAAGTTTGTTGGTGCCTGGAGTGGGCAGGATGGAGCTTGATGTCCCAGGAGCACTTGCTGCCCATATTGTAGCTTATGGGAAGCAGAGGAATTGTGGGTATACCTGAGATTGGTACCATTGCAGCCTCAGTGCCACTCAAAGTACATAACAATCATCCCCAACAGTTTCCTGCGGAAGGATGGATCTTCATAGTAAGGTTGAAGGCCAGCTTTATGTTCCCCACTTTTGGTGTTTACTAGCAATTACCAGGTCCAAATCAGGAGAAATTTTAATTCTTGGTAGAAAAGTATCTCATTTAAGGTATTGCTTTACTATACTTTTAAAATTGAGTTCCTGCAGTTAATGATTACTGGATAGTCTTGGTAACTCAGAAAACAGCCTTGGGAGTGACAGGTCTACTATTAAAAGCACCCCAGCTTACAATGGTAGATGCATCCTGAACAAACCACTATAAGTTGAAAAGATCAGTGGTTCTCAACCTATGAGTCCCTGACTTCTTTGGTGTCTCTCAAAGGAGCCACCTAGGACCATGGGAAAAGACTGATATTTGTTTACATTATGATTTGCAACAGTAGCAAGATTACAGTTATGAACTAGCAATGACAATAATTTTATGTTTTAGGGCCACTGCAACATGAGGAACTATATGTATTAAAGGGCTGCAGCATTAGGAAGGTTGAGAACCACTGTCCTAAGTACATTTAAGGACCTCATCTGTCAAGTATCCTGGGGCAGCAACTCCATATCCTGGAGAGCGTTGAGAGTGTTCCTTGAGATCATGTGACCCACTAGGAACTGTGGCTTGCTACTACTGTCCAGTAATGTGACAAGTTAAGACCAAACCTTGGGATCCAACACTGTGTGTTTTGTTCATGCAATCAGGGCATTAAAAATTAATAAGTTGGGTCAGAGACTATCTATACGTTGTTCATGTGAATCCATGAAGGGGCTGTCAGGTTGTTGGTGAAATAATGTGAAGAAATGGCAGGTTCATTCAGTTAATTTTCATTGACCTTGGGGAAATGACTTTACATTTTCCAGTGCATGCCCATGAGTAACCACAGACATTGCATCAGCTTCTTAGTTATCACATTCTCAGGGAGAGCATGAGAAACTGTTCTGTCAGATTCGGTCTCAGAGGCGATCCCTGCTCATCTTATCCTGAAATAACTGCTATGTGATATGCTTCCAATCGAGGTTTCTGGTAGGGCTTTAAGATCTTAGGCCCCTCCTAACTTTGCCTTCTAGATATGGTATAAAAACACACTTACTTTGACCATACTCTAGGCCCCACAAATGGCATTGGTCGTGATCTTTCACTTTTACCCTGCCCTGGAGGATCTCTCTGAAGCTGTACCCTTGTACTATCATCAATCATTCATACCCTGAAGCAGGGGCCATGCCAGCAACGACAGGTGACTCTGTTCTTCCTTACCTCCACAGTGCAGATGAGGTCTCTACCATTTGAAAACCATTGAAAGCAAACTGAGGGATGCCTTTCATTATTTTTCCCCAGGGCTGCGTCCAAAGAGAACTCTACGCCTGGTGCTCTGGACAGCGGAAGAGCAAGGTGGAGTTGGTGCCTCCCAGTATTACGAGCAACATAAGGTAAAACTAGCCAGGACATGCTGAACACCTACATTTGCAATGTCAACGTAAACCAAAAGCATTGATTTCTACTTTGTGTTTTTTAATCCTCTGGGATTGTCTGTTTAGAAGTTCTTAGTCCTTGGTGGCAGGCTGACTCTGGCAGATACTCAGTCCTGTAAGTGAGTGCATCCTGGTGAAATGAGGATACTGTGTAGGGGTAAAGGATCTTCTATTTCCTTATCATACTCCTGTACCTAGAAAACTCCCCAGCTGTGTGTTGCCATTTTCTTAGTCTTGCTAGTTCTGCTGTGCTCATACACGACAGAAAGTAATGGGTAGGCATTCCCTTCCCACTGAGCCAACACCCTTGCCTTTCTGTCTCCAGTCCTCCTGGAAGCCCTCATATTTGAAGCCCCAACACCTAAAGTCAGCAAATAGCATCACCTTCATGGTGGTAGGAATATAGCAGCCACAGATCTCTGATCTGGGAACACGGAGGGCAGCCTGATTAGATACTAAATTTAGGCACAGATGGAGCCTAAAACATGAAGACTGTTGTGGAAAGTCAAGATTTTTCTAATAAAAAAAACTTCCTTTAACACTGGGGGTAAGGATTACTACTGAGAACAACATTGAGAAAAATAAAATGTATGAGGACAGGAAACCACTAGAACAAGTTGAACATTATTAGCTCAAGGAAACAAACTTTCCATCAAAATGTAAATGCATGGATTTTTGGCAGCAGGTACTAGGGAAAATAATAGCCAACAGACACTATTGAGTTTTTGCTATGACTTGACTAAATTAGTCAATCAGAATTAGTCATCTATCACCATAACAGGATATCAGTAATAACTGGCCTATAAGGAGGAATGGTTTATTCTGGTTCACAGTTTCAGAGATTTTGGTCCATGATCACTTGGCTCTGTTTTTTTCTGATTCCACAGCAGGGTAGCCAGAATAAGCTATGAAGCCATAAATATGTTAATCAATTCATAAAGTCCTTATGATCCAGTCACCTTACAAACAGACACCCCACCACTGAATACTGCTGTACCAAGATCAAGCCTTCAATACATAGGTTCTAGGGAGGCATTTAAGACTCAAGCTGTCACAGAAATCATTCCTACGATCAATGTAGCACCCTCCTGATGAATCATAGCACACAAGTTTCATAAAGAAGTTGTATGTGTGTGTGTGTGTGTTTTCTTATTTTGATAGTTTATATAATGTTCTTTAATTTCAGAGTTCTCACTGTCTGTCTTTCATCATATTATTACATATATGTGAGAATTGTTTAGAGGCATATTGTTTGTGGCTTAAGCTACTGATTCTTTTAGAAGTAACATTATTTTTATTGAGGCTTCATTGGCAGTACTCAGTTAATACACAGATCTTAAATATTCAAATGAATGTATTTTTTGGAAAGTATAAACTCTTGATGCACTAGCTAGAGTTACTGTTGCTAACCTGATAAAACACCATGATCAAAAACAAGTTGGGGTGGGACGGCTTCACTTGGCTTATGCTTCTACATCACAGTCATCAAAGGAAGTCAGGACAGGAACTCAACAACAACAGGAATCCAAAGGCGGGAGCTAATACAGAGACCATGGAGAGATGCTGCTTACTGGCTTGTTCCCCATGGCTCGCTCAGCCTGATTTCTGATGGAGCTGAGGACCACCAGCCCAGGGATGGCACCACCCACCACAGACTGGGTCCTCCCCCATCTATCACTAATTAAGAAAATGCTCCAAAGGCCTTTACAGTTTGACTTTATGGAGGCATTTTCTCAATCCAGGTTCCCTCCTCCCAGATGACCGTAGTTTGTGTCAAGGTGACATAAAACTAGCCATCACGTCTTGTAATCATCACATAGATCAACATGAGAGTGTGCCTATTATGCTAGAAAGTTCCTTTGCACCTCTTCAAATGGACCTCCTTCTCCACCAAAGGCTAATACTGTGTTGATTTTATTTTGTTGCCACAGATTGTTTATGCTTGGCTTTTATCTTCATATAAACAAAAGTGTGTAGCATATAATCTTAAATCTAGATTCTTTCACTGAACAGTATGATTTTGGGATCCATCCACGTTACCACATTAACAAGAGATGGCCCCTTTCTGAGTTGATCTTTGTTGTGTGAATAGAGCCCAATTTCTTTTCTCCAAAAGGAAAGGAAGATAGATATTCTGTGGATGGACATTTGTGTTCCTTCCAGTGTTGGCTACTGTAAAGATGCTATGGACATTTCTGTACAGATATTTAGATGGCCATATATATTTACTTTACATTTTAGGAGTAGCTAGATTATAACTGGAGTTTCTTGTCTTGCCAGGTACTGCTACCCTTCAACCCCAAATAAGCACACAAAGTCTTATATTAATTATTAAAGTTTTGGTGGATGGCTAGGGCTTCTTATTGGCTAGATCTGTCTTAATTATTAACCCATTTCTATAAATCTATGTATCTCCAATGTGGTCTTGGCTTATTGGAGAATGCCTGGGCCTGTTATTCCTTGGTGGTTACATGGCATTTCTTTCTGTTTCCTCTCTGCCTCTCTCCCCAAAATTCTCCTTGTCTCCTAGCCCCGCCTATCTTCCTGCCTCTATTGGTCAAACAGTGTTTTATTCATCAACCAATAAGAGAAACATGTATACAGAAGGACGTCGCCCATCACAAGATCATATGATAGACTGTGTTCAGTTTCATTAGAGAATGGCACAAGATGGGAGCTTATCATTTTATATCCTCACCAACAACATTTAAGCCTCCAAACTGTACCTATCCTTCCCCGTATGTACTCTGGTGGCTTTTCCATGTTGAGTGATTCCTATAAGTCTCATATTTTGCAAATTTTAAAAGTGTAATTCTGAAGGGTAGAAGAAAAGTTATGCCTCTACTCTAATGGTTCTTTCTTCTGTCCTCACTCACTGAAATAAAACCATCTTGATTCCCGTGTTCTATAGTTTACAGAAATTGTAGGCTCTTTTATACCCACATGAGTTTGGGGTGTGAGTTTGTTGTTTTTCTTTTGCTGTGAAAAATATCATGACCAAAGCCAACTTGTAAGAGAAAGAGTGTGTTTTGTTTCACAGATGCAGAGAGAGAGAGAGAGAGTCCATAATGATAAGGAAGGCAGGAAACCAGGCAGAAGTAGGAAACTGTCTGACCATACTTAATCTATACCCAGGAGGCAGAAAGAAATTAGGAAGCAAGCCAGGCTTATCAGAGCCCACCTCAGTAACATACTTCTTCCAGCAAAGTTGTACCCTGCAAAGGACCCACAACCTCCCCAAATATCATCATCACTGGGGAAGAAAATGAATGAGCCTATGGGGGCATTTCTCATCAAACCACTATAAGGTAGATACTGTTAGTGATTGAGGTGATGGTATTTCAATATGGAGGAATGCCTTGGAATAGTGGGACATAGAATGGATACCTGTTGAAGCCACTGCTGACTCCTTAGGGTGTTAAGGGAGAGCAGCTTATGATGGAACCCAATGGGACACCAGAGAGGAGAGAGGCCACCTCAGTGCTCAGCAGAGAGTGACTTCTTTTATGCTCGGAAGGGAAATTGGTTCCAGAAAGGATTTGCGAGCCTGCTAAAATGTCTTTGCATTATTGCTTGTTGATGAAGTTATTATTTAAAATGTGAACTGCTCTTTAGATTCAATACACTTCATATTTACTAGAAAGAAATGTCACTACATAAAGAGCACATTATTGTGAATAAAGGTTGACTGGTGAGGGTGGAATTTAACTTTGAAATTTATAAATATGATGATTTTTCTCAATTTTAAGTCAATCAAATGACGTTTGTGTAGATACCATTAGTCTAATCAGCTTTTTATGGGAACAATAATACTTTCTTCCCTTCTTTTAGGAAGCCAGGATGCCACTTCTCACATCCAAAATGTACAAAGGATGGGGGGGGGACTGAATTAGTTTCATGGATTTCTGACCTTTCAAAACTCTTCTCAATTTTAAGCAAACTGATTTGGCATAATTATAATTAGCAAGATGATCTGGCCTTGAGAAAGGTTCATTACATGAAGTAGTCCAATAAAATAGATTGATATGCTCTAGTTTGGCATGAAAAACATTTAACTTTATCCTGATTTATTATCCAAACTTCAGGCAATTGAATCGTAGGGGTAATGAACATGGCTGTGTTCTAGTGGCCATTAATAAGGGTAATATTTAAATAGGTTTTATCAAATGAGGGATAGGATTGGTGATCATGTCAGGTTATTTGAACTCTAACCACCTTAAAAACTGAAAAGGCTAAGCTGATTATGTGTGATTATATAGGACTTCCTGTATTGCTGGTGACGAGAAGCAGAATTTCCACCTTACTTACATAAATGCCTAAAAATATTAGCCACTTTTAGTAGTAAAGTTTTGCCAACTTTTTACCCACATTAAGTTTCACAATTCACTCTAAATTGAAGGGGTATGTTACAAATCCCAGACAGACCCTCTCCCATTATCCAGGCAAATTGCTTCTTAGGCATTTTTTATTATGACACACTATTGCCCCCATATGTGGTTAATGCAGTCAGGGTGACACTGCTGGAGTGTGACAGCATGTACTCCTGTTGGGATCTGGGTAACAAAGCTGATGCACATGTCCAGTGTAGTGGCTCGGACTGTGTCACCACAGGGCTTCCCTGCATCATGAATGTCCCACACCGAATAGCCTTGCTCATCTGAAGTTACGGCCAGTTGTTACTTCCTGGATTTTAAGCACCCTGTGTTTTCCTTTCCATGTCTAGATATTTGCATAAATCATATTATTACTAAGCATATTACAAAATTATTTTAAGTTTCATTTATCTCAGCGTGTTTCTGGTCTGAACTTGCAGTTTTCACTTGTACATAATTGGTATAGCACACATGTCTTATAAGAATTTGGGTACTTAATTTTATTTCTTTCAAAGTAAGACTGTTTCTCAGAATTTTTCTTTCTCTCCTGGTATGGGCTTTTAAAGCTTACATACATCACGGTAT